TTCTGACAGTTGCAGTGAAAATGTCCTGTGTGATTGTGTCCTTCAGTTTGTGAGTGTTGAACTTGCATTGTGGCCTATCCCCAGGTATCCTCGAGGCTTTCAGCTTCACCTTGAAAGTCCCTTGTACCAGATAGTGGTCTGAACCCACATCTGCTCCTCTCCTCGATCTTGTGTCCAGTAGGCTCCGTCTCCACTTCCTTGAGATTGAAATGAAGTCTATCTGGTTTTTGGTGTGTCCATCTGGTGAAATCCATGTCGCCTTGTGTATATCCCTGTGTTTGAACACACTGCCACCAATCACCAAATCATTGAAGGCGCAGAAGTCTGAGAAGAGTTCACCATTTTCGTTCATTTCACCGAGGGCCTCACGACCCATGGTGAGTTCTCTTCCTGTATTGTCTCCTCCCAGTTTCGCATTCATGTCGCCCATCAGGATTTTGATATCGCTCTTTGGGACGTTGTTCATTACTGTTTGTAATTGACTGTAGAAATCCTCCTTCTTCTCATGTTCTGAGGCGTTTGTAGGCGCGTAGCACTGAATGATTGTAACCTTTTTTCCTTTTGAGTTGAACCTGGCTGTCATTATCCTGGAGGAGATTGGTTCCCACTGCATGAGAGCTTTAGCCGCTGTTGGTGACATCATGATGGCTACTCCCTCGGTGTGCTCGTGATTGTCCTCTGGGTGACCGGAGTAGATTATTGTCTCTCCAGTTGATAGTTGGCTCCTTCCACATCCGTTCCATCTGCTCTCGCAGATTCCCAACACTTCTATTCTATATCTCCTCATTTCTGCGGCTACCTGAGCAGCCTTTCCAGCTTCGTACATTGTACGAACATTCCACGTCCCCATCCTTATTTTCGCTTTCATCGAAAGAAGGCACATCGGCTGACTGGCTTCCCGAAGGCTTTCACCAGCCCGCGTCATTTCACTTCCCCGATTCCAGCGAAAAATAAGGTCACTATTTGTAATTTTAGAATTTTGAATATATTTGTGCGTTGAAGTTTTAGTAGCAATTTGGTTAAGTTTTGGGGGTGGAGTTGCTAGCACCACGCCCCAACCCTCCCTCTTTATCCGGGCTTGGGACCGGCTAGAATACTAGTGACCTAGTAATCTAGGCGAGGTTATAGAACAAATTAGGGGTATATAATAATGGTATTTGACAAAATCATTATTCAATTTATTTGATGCGTAACTGTCTCCACTCGACTTCGTTCGATCACTAGCTGATATCAGCTGCAGAACAATTAGAAAACCAGGGAGAACTCGACAGCTATTTCGTCCTAGTTTTGGGCTCTTCACAGTATACACTCATCGGGGTTTAAACCCAGGACCTTCACTCCCCGCGGTTACAAGAAGATCCCTATCAGTCACACCTTATTATATTAAAATTTCAGCAAATTCTGAGTTGCGCGGAGGATTTCATCATGAGCTGACATCAGTTAGAGAACCAGTGGAAACCAACTGAGAAGTACTAGACAACTGTTTCATTAGTCTAGTTTGGGACTCCTTATCAGTACGCACCCATCCCACTGCAAGGGTTCGAAACCAGGACTTTCTGGTCACAAGGCGAGCTCGTAGACCATTGAGCCACTGGGACACGATCCAATGGTCCTTGAATCCTAATTTCTGCCAATTCACGACATAGCGCGACCATTTCGCAAAGTCTTCTTCGATGAGTTATTGCTTCGTCTTCAACCTGCTGTACCTTAATGGTCATGGCTTTCCACTAGCACCTCAGGTTAACTGCCTGAAAAGAGAGCCAGTCGCTAGTGAGCACCAGATTAATTTTCAAGTATTGGCGGTTATTTTGTAGGGATTCTGTTCGATTGCATGGAGGATTTCATCATGAGCTGACATTGGTTGGAGAACCATTGAAAATCAGCGGGGAGTACTGGGCAACTGTTTCATCAGTCTAGTTTGGGACTCTTCAGCAGTACGCATCCACCCCACTGCAAGAGTTCGAAACCAGGACCTTCTGGTTACAAGGCTAGCGAGCTGGTAGACCACCAAGGTTACTGATACCCACTTTGATAGCCAGCCGATGAATTCTAACTCCGAAAAATTCGTGATTTTAGTGCCACACTATCAGCCAATGTCGTCGACTTGATCATCAGTGTATATATATAAAACAGTTCTTATTGTTTCTTCTTCTTTTCCTTCTTCTCACTTTTGTTTTCCCACTATAGGTGACTGGTAATAAAGATTTATTAAAATGGTCATTTGATAATTATCTTGACTATACTACTTATTGGCCGAGTAATATAAATCTACCACAAAAAGGGAAACAACGTTTACTTGATTGGAAAGATTATTGGGAGAAATCATCATCTGTGTCATTATTAAATACACCAATTGATCAAAATGCCGTGTACACATTCATTCCAAAAGGTACACACAATCTACTTAGTGTTTATCGTCAATATGAGTCGAATATACAACGTGTATATTTTATTGTTAGCTTTCAAACATTAATTACTATTGTACACTTTCAATCAATATTCTATGATTTTAATTCCCCGCCAATAATTCATGTGGCGTATGATTCAAAAGGCGAGTATCATGGTAAACGCAAATTTAGTGATGAAGCTTTAGTGAATAATCAAGTTTTATTACTTTATTATTACTAGTAAAAAGCATAGAAATATATTTCATTTAGAACATTAAAGAAAGGAAGAAAAAAAAACAAATCGAGAGAAAATACACTCGATGATTATTTGTCTTCCTTAAATTAAATGAAAACTTTTAGATAAGTTTTGTTTTTAATTTTACTGATTTATACATACATTTGTAAATAGATAAATAAATAAATACATTTCCCACACAACTTTTCTCTCTCTTTCTATTGTGCTCATACTGTAACAACAGAAGACAATGGCCAGGCAACAGATCCTTTATTAAGGAAAATCAACACATATTTATAGATTTTCATGTACATTATTGTAGATCATTGTTAGTAGAAAATACAGTCTTTTGATTGGTGGTTGTTTCTCACAGAAAGTTAACCTTGCATCTCTTTGTGGCTGTGTCAGATCATCCATATGCTAACTGTATCCGCCTACGCAAAGCCTTTGTTCTCATTTTCTGACCACCAATATTGGGGACATAAACATTGACGTCAATTACTGTCTACCAACTTTGGCTAGTAGACAGTTCTCACCACAATACTATTTTATTCATTTGCGTTCCAAGTGGAATATAGCATTTCAAGCTCGAGCTCTGGACTTTTCACGACAAACCTTCCCTCTTTATCGGGTTTACTACTTACCGGTTAGGCGAGGTTTGTAGGAGTTTGTCGGCCAGGGATCGAACTCTGGATCACATGCATCGTTGGTGGGCCACCTACCATTACACTGTAGATGCAGTATTATTATTATTGTTATTATTACTGCCTTGAGTTCCGAGTGAAACATAGGTCTTCAACAACACATTTCCACTTTCCTATATTATCTGATGTCCTGCTCTTCAGCTATCTCCACGATTGACCATAATTTATCATCTCCTCTTCACCGCACAACCTCCTTCATGTCACTCTTGCACCAACGACCCACTCGTTGCCTGCTTCCCATTGAGATTCCACTCGAGTGATGATGGCCTCCTGCATTGAGCGCGATGTCATTCGACGGTCTCCTTAGTGGCGTATGCCCGATCAATCCATCTCCAGTTTTTCTCCTGCATATTTATTTAGTGAGCAATTGACTCTCGGTTGGTTTGTTGCCTGCCACTCAGAGTTTCTTGTTCCTAATTCTTTCTTTCTAGTCGGCTGGATATTTGATCTTAAGTGTGGAGCGAAGATTTTAATACTGTTATTTTATTCCTGCCTATCTTGTGTCAGTAGACTCTACTTATACAAATGACCGTGAAGTCTGTCTGTCTGTCTTTTTTCGACATAGAACTTTGCACATATGTGCACCAGTTCAAGTCGCCACACTCCCTCCATGTAGCACACAAAGCAAGGGAAGAAAGTAGGAGAAATGCATAATAGAGACAGTAAAGAGAGGTGTGAGACAATGGAATAGTAATAACAAAGAACAATATAGTTTCATTGCATCTGCACTAGCCATTGAAAACGATGAGTTTGAGCCATGTCACCGATTGTCTCCAGCCTTCATTGGTGTTTACCGTCCCGAGGACCCCAACCAGTCAGTCAGGAAGTCTACACCTTCCTACATGGCCTAGATTAACTGTTGTAGATTTCATTGACTGGTGCCATGTTTTCGTTTGACCACCGCTAGCCCTTTTCCAGCCTGACCTTATATCAGCTAACATTGCCCGTCAGTAGAGGAAGGCGATGACTAGGCATACGTAACACATGTCCTAACCATCTCAGTCGATGGAATTTTACAGCCTCGTTGATTGATTTCCCCTAATTACCTAGCACTCGACTCACGCCTAG